CACTACATCTCATTTTAAACTATTCACTGATGATCTTCGTCCCCCACTCTTTGCCGTTGTCTCATAATGTGAGTGTGCCACCAGGCGTCGCTTATGAACGCGCCATCACACTGACGGGTACCCACTCTCCTCATACCGATATGCTATTTGACTTTCATTGGTGAATAGGTTAGGTACATGTCAGGTATACGGAATCCAATTGTCATATATTAAGCTGAATCAAATCTCAATAGTTTTGGCGTTTTATTAATTAGCGTGCGAACTCTCGCTTTGTCAATCATTCACTTCCTACGAAGTATGTTCATTACCGAACAGCCCGGCACGCCAAGTTGACTTTTTTCCGGATCAATTTCGTATGGACGGGGTTTGAAACAATATATTTTGTCATTAGGCCGAAAAAAACTTTGCTAGCGAAGATGAGGTTTGCAACAATCATATTGGTCGACAAATTTTTTTTGGCCGTTTGACGCCCACTATTTTTTGTCATAACAACCGTAGTCAGCGTTTCGTGGACGCGAAGCAAAGCGACGCAGCCGTAAAACACTGTCTTACAGCTGGAATGACAAAAGCCTTTATTAACAATAATCGATTTTCCAATCGGAACTAAAACTGCGGAAAATTGTCCTAGTTGACGCTGTCAGCATAAACTTGGCATTTTTTAATATTTTCATGGTTTTTTAAAAATAAGATTATATCATAATCAGTTCGCCTGCTCTGTCATTTCAACTTTTCAGTAATTGTCCCATGTTTTTGTCTTGGAGGCGATCAGATTCACGTCGACTTGGCGCCATTTTTTCACAAATTTTTTTTGTGATTTTTTTAGAGAAAGCAAGCAAAAATTGAAATCCGTACGCGAGTTTTGTAGATACTAGGGCCGCCGCGACCGCAAGCGGCCGCGACGTTGATGACATTCTCATCATATGTCAGATCAGGGGTCCCGTTCGATTATCGAATCGAATGAAAAATGATCGATTATCACCATGAGGTCCGCCATGTTTGATTACTGGAGCGTTCTTTTTATCATATAGGATATTTGGAAATTTTTAATATAAAGCTCAAGAAATTCTCTAT